ATGACAGGTTGGAGCGCCGGTGCGATCATTTGCTCTTAAAATACTTTGTCATTTTTTGGTCATATAGATAAGAGTAATGCATCTTTTGTATCTGTAAAGACTTTACGTTTATTCGTGTGCACTCAGGATAACAACGAAACGTTGCGCTTTTGTTAAAAAATGAAAGCAAACAAGATGCGCTTTCTGCCGTCTCGGTCTCTGTGAACTTGAGCGCGTTCACTTCGAAACTCTGTGTATGCTTGCCTTATTACAGACATGAAAAATATATCTATAGAGAGTGAAACTTTTAAATGGAAAAAAAAATTCAAATAGAAAACAAATATTCTCAGATTATGTAATCCGTATGGAACATGCATACAGGCGCATACTGCGGAGATGACGAGTCAGTGTCGCCGACTTCATCTCTTAAACCGAAAACAGAAAGCACTAGTGTAACAATAAATTATTAAAACGTTAATGCAGTGTACTTGCTGTTTTTCCCCAACACATTCATAATTATTATATTTGCCGGTGTGCTGTGGCAAGCCTTTTTTGCGTGCGCTTGATCGCTTATTAGGCTATGTAGGCAATTAAAGGCTCATTATTATGGTTTATATGGTTTATTAATAAAAGTGTGACTAATAGTCGACTAACGCTTAAAAATGAACGACGACTAGTCGACCAGAAAAATCTTTAGTCGATTATGTAATTATGAACGCGATATAACAGTAATCTACGGCTCTGAGTATTAAATGCCGCTCCATCTGAAAGCACGTGATGGAGATTTACTATTCACAGAACCGGCTTTACTGACGAGATGCGCATGACAATCACATGTGATTTATCGTGCAGCCCTAAGTAGTGCTAGGCAGTATACCGGTTCATACCGAATACCGGTGTTTATTTTTGTTATGATATGAATTTTTTAAATACCGCAATACGGAATGTCGCTTAAACAATGTTCAAAACGCGACACTGTTTGAAAGGGGTCCGTTTTCACTGTTGCACTGTGGTGAGGGAACAGCTGTATGTGTTACTAAGCGTGAACGTTCCGAAACTGAAGCTGTAGAACTAATAGAACGTGATGACACAGAAGAACTCATCCACAATATCCCCACTGACCACCACAAATATCCACCACCCCCTGCCATCAGCTCCCGCATCTCACACACACGAACGCGACTTTAGCACTAGATTTAGCAACTTTCAGACCCTTTTAGCGGCTTTTTTTCCATAGAATATTCATACTGACTGTAACGAAAGGGTCTACCAGTGAGTGGCGCAGGTGTCACACATTAGCATTTACTCCACCGGCCTCACTCCGTTCCCACGGCTCTCGGCCCCGCACCTCTCGTTTTGTCTCTCATAGTTGAGGTATACCTATGATGAAAATTACAGGCCTCTCTCATCTTTTTAAGTGGGAGAACTTGCACAATTGGTGGCTGACTAAATACTTTTTTTCCCCACTGTATATGAAAAAGGTTTAGATTTTTGGATAAAAAAAGTTTAATAATAATAATAATTACTTGATAATTATTTTAAATATGCAGTCCATAAAATTGTATTTTATTTTATATAATTTTTTCTGTATATTTTATGTTGTTATTTCTTGCTTGAAAATTAAAGATAGAAGATTACATTTGAAATAACAGTGTATTAATATCCATTACTGGATAATCCAGCAAATTAAATAATTTTTCTTTTGTAATTAACTTCATTTAAATATGCAATTCATAAAATAATATTATATAAATATTATATATGTTTCTAGAAGATTACATTTGAAATAACAGTGTATTAATATCCATTACTGGATAATCCAGCACATTAAATAATTTTTCTTTTGTAATTAACTTCATTTAAATATGCAATTCATAAAATAATATTATATAAATATTATATATGTTTTATATAAAGTAGTTATTTTTTATTTTGGAAATTCAAAGAAAGTAGTTTACATTTTAAATAACAGTGTAGTCATATCTATTATTGAATAATCCAGCAAATAAAATGTTTCTCTATAGTAATTACATTTATTTATTAATTTAAATATATAATCCATTAAGTTGTATTGTTTGAGATATATATATATATATAAAATAAAAATAACGTTTTAGTAATATAGTAATAACGGTTTATTGGATAATTCAGCAAATGAAATAATTGTCTTATATTATTTTAAATATACAATATTATATGAACATCATTATATTATTATTTTATATTAATATTAAATGTATATTATATTATTTTAATATTACACACACATATACACACACACACATATATATATATATATATATATATATATATGTCAAACAATACAACTTAATGGATTATATATTTAAATTAATATATATATATTAGTGCTGGGCAACGATTAAAATTTTCTGCGATTAATGTTAATATAATATAATGATATATTCATATAATATTGTAATATTGATTAATCGCATTATGCACAAAATTCAATAATGAATTCAAAAGTAGTGTATTGTGCACTTTTTTCATTTAAAAGTACTGCTATATGAACAAAAGTGCAATAACATTTGGCTTGCAAGCACTTTAAACAAATAAGGTGCTTTTTTTACAACAGTATTCCTTTTACGTAGTAGCAGTAAAAATATTTATTGTAAATCTCAACTTATAACATTCATGTACTCAAATTAAATATAAAACCAAAACTATTTGCCACTGCCAGGGCATTAACGTTTTTATAGAAAATATTTTATAGTTTGTTATAGAAAAACAAGTTATGCTCAGAGTCCAGAGCCTCGATCATAACATTATAAACGGGCACCTTCCTTGTAGAGACCAGGAACACACGGGACCCAACGCAGCAGAGTGCGACGCGGGACAACACTTGATGGGCGAGTAGAGACTCGTGTGTGCGGGATGCGGGAGAATAAGGGTGTAGCCTACTCACACTAGGCAATCTTAACCATGCCTGAGCGTGTTTGATCCCCAAAGCATGTAGATCGCTAACCGCGCCGGAACGCGGAACTTCTGATGCATGCAGCATGATTGCGTGAACATTTCTGAGAGGCAAAAGTGATATATCTAGACTGTAAAGCAATATATTGTGAGAGGGCCGTGTGTTACCGCATCCCAAACGACTCAAAATAATAAGCCACAAAGTTAACAAAACGATGCACTCCACTGTGCTGAGCGAGAGCACTTCTCTGCTGTCTTCACGTGCTATCGGAAACTTCCTATTTCCCCACTTATGAAGTCGTGACTCGTGAGCGCTGCTGCAGTCTTAGGCCCACCCCAAATGCTCTCATTGGTTGAGACGCGTGGTGACACCCATCCCAAGCTAGTACTGATCAACATCCCACCCCTCCTGTGACCCCCATATGGTTTGTCTGTATGTGTATTCAGAGCCAGTGAGCAACGGGCTTTCATAAAAATAAAAAATTGAAAAAATATAACGTCATAACGCATAAACTTGCCCAGCCCTAATATATATATTATTATTATTATTTATTTATTTATTTTATTTTTTTTTTTTTTTAATCTAGCAAATGAAATAAAATTTCTATAATAATTAAATTAAAAAAAAATATAACAACATTAGAAACAATGAAACAATTAGAAACCTTTTTTGATATTATCATTCATTTTAAGTGTAGCCTGTGATCTATTTATGGAGGTTTGCTTTCTTCTTCTAGATATCTTGAGAGCTGTGCGACGTCTGCTCTGAAACGAAAGAGCGACTCTTTGTCCATAGCTACGTCATCTTCATCCTCCATGTCTGAGGAAGACAAACCCACAGCGGCTGCACATGAAGATGCTGTGAACACAGACGGTACGAGCTCTCAAAGTCCATTGCAACCGGTTCTGTATCCTCCTAAAACCCTGCACAGATTCTGATGACTGACTTTCTCCTGCAGAAGCTGCTCTAGAGGGCGCTGGTGCTCTGGACAGCCAGGTGTCTGCGGGTTCGGCCACGACGGCAGCGGTGGTGGGAGCGCCACTCACAGACATTACAATCTCCACTGAAGCCATGAGCGTGGTGTCCGTCACCAGTCAGTGCAGTTACAGCAGCACCATAGTGCACGTGCCGCAACCCGAGTCAGGTGAGTTACAGTGACCCAAAATGTGTTTGGCCACTTAAACCGTATTTAAAGGGATAGTTCACCCAAAAACGAGCATTTGCTGCTAATTTACACACTCTCAGGCCATCCAAGATGTAGGTGACTTTTTTTCTTGAGTAAAACCGTAAAGAAGATTTTTAGCTTAAACTATGGTCCTTGGTGATTGATGCAAATGCAAGTGGCTGTCTGAGAATTAAAAAAAAGCGTATCAAGCAACACAAAATGAATACCTGTGGCTCCTGACGATTTATTGAGGTCTTATGAAGTGAAACTATCTCTCTGTGCAAGAAACTGAACATTATTTACTACATTATTATTTATAATCCAGAGCCTCAGGCAAACAAACTGGAGTGATGTCTGGTTTGCGAACGAATTGTTCTTTTGAACCTGTTCTTTTTTGGAAACTAGTGGGACTAGTTTCAGATCTACAAGTTACTCAGTCAAAACTCACTTTCGGATGTCAGACAGTCACGCCGACTCAAAATGAGCCAAAATACCGGCGTATCAGATCCTCTTATGAACTCATTCAGCGCTCCAGTTCCTCTAACATTCACTTAACTGAGGAAACAGTTCGACTCGGACTGGAGACCGATGAGCCGGTGATCTGCGCATGCGTAAACCGAGCACTTGTATGAAGGGGAGAAATGAAAGTTTTTATGGTTTCTCACAGTTTATGTAAAAAGGTGAGCTGATGAAGACAAGTTTATTCACTTATGTTTTAGACATGTAAAACATCTACGTTTCACATCATTATAATAATATAATTGCGTATACATTGTCATTGCGTGATTATGTAAAGAAACGGAAAGAAACATCAGATTTCCCCATGGCCTGAGGCTCTGAATTACAGATAATAATGTTGTAATTAATGTTCAGTTTCTGGCTCAGACCGATTGTTTCACTTCATAAGACCTCAGTATATCGTCAGGAGCCACAAGTATTCATTTTGTGTTCCTTGATATGCTTTTTTTATTCTCAAAAACCAGTAGACACTTGTTTGCATTTTTATGAATACATTTTTTTTATCCCTTTAAAAATAAGTTTTTAGGCAGCTCCGTTGAATGCCTGCATCTGCCGCTTGTCTTCCTCCAGAGGTCACAGCCTTAGAAAATGCTCCAATGGGGAGTGAACCAACAGACTCCGCCCCCACCCCTGCACGCCCCGCCCCCAGCACCTCCTCAGCGGCTCAGGAGGAGTTACTCGTGGTGGATCTTACTAAAGAGGTGCTGTCGGCCCACACCCAGAAGGAGGAGCAGCAATTCGTAGATCGTTTCCAACATCGTATCCTGCAGAGTCCCTACAGCTCCTACCTCCAGCAGGACAACAGCAGCATGGCCCATTCTCATCACAGAGGTGTGTGTGTGTGTGTTTGTGTGTGTGCTAGCTGTTGTTATTTATCAGTCTATTTCTTGTCATGTTCTTCATTTATTATTTGCTTTGGATAAAAGTGTCTGGCGCAACTTGTGATAAGAACAAGCACTCTGGAGCAACCTAAGATTAATGCTGCCTATGGATTATTCATTTGATTCTATTATTAAAACTATATCTTTTATATAGTTATTTTTTATCTGAAAATGTAAAGAAAAAATTTACATATTAACAGTGTGCTAATAACTATTGTTGGAAATTCCAACAAATTAAATATTTTTTATAATAATTTAATACTTTATTTAAATATACAATCCATAATGTCAATAGTCTATATATTATATTATATTATTATTATGTAATATTAATTATTAATACTAATTATTATAATAGTATAATTAAGATTAGTTTTTTTATAATGTTTTGATGTAATTGGTGTTTGATGTAATTTTTCTTTGACATTTTAAGTGAAATATTGTGTTGTGTGTAATATGCATATATATATATATATATATATATATATATATATATATATATATATATATATATAAATGATGCTAAGGCAATATAATATTTAAAAATTTTTTATTATTTTAAAATTTAATTTGAGCAGGGTCTGTATTTATTTGGTATTACATTGGCTGTAGCATCAGCTATTGAAAAAGCTGAATTGGTTGGGCCTTAGTTTGAACTACCACATTTGAGTTATTTGGCCAGTTTTTAACAGTATTTTATACTGCACAATATAGGAAATGAACTGTAATGTTTCACAGAAATAAAATGCATTAGCCGTGAACATTAATGTCTCCCATACAGCAGTATAATTGTGTGTTGAGACTCATTAACTCTCATTTCCCATCTACTCTCAGCTGATGTTGTGCGTCCTCCAAACAAGCACAAGCGGCCCAAACCAGAAGACTCATCCGACAGCTACGGCTCCCAGCCGGGCAAATACTGTTCACTTCCCAGACCCACAGGAGCGCCTCATTCCTCCTGGCCGTCCTCAGAGTCGTCTCAGCCCCCGCCATCCAACATCGGCTTTGTGCCGCCCATGGCAGCGCCAATGCAGTCGGCCCCTTACTTCACTGTGCTCAGTGCAGATCAGCAGCCCATGGTGGTCCAGCCTGACCAAGCTGTCCAGAACCTCCAACCCATGCCTCCCATGACTCCCATGATGGTCGTCCTGCTTCCTAGCTACCCCGTGTACCCCGGCAACAATGGCATGTATCCGCAGGGAATGCCCGTCCCGGTGCCCGGAGTCGTTCCCCAGCCTCCCTTTAATATGGGCGGCTACATCCCGTCTGGTGGCCACATGCCACATAGGTCTCCATCTCAGGGGCATCCTGCAGGGTCCAGCGTCACAGGAGCTGGGATGCCACCGGGTGCCTCGGCGGAGGTCGACTCGATACCTGCCCCTTGGTTTGGGGAAGACCTTGATGCAGCACAACCTACAGCACTCTTCTCCAGCTCTCGCTCCAGCTCGCCCATCCAGCTGAACTTACTCCAGGAGGAGCTGACCAAACCCACCGAAGCCCAGAACAGCACCGGTCCAGAGAGTCTGCATGAGCCCCACGCCAAAGCGGTGAGACCAACTGAGATCGGACTTGAGAAGTTTCGGGCAGTTGAAATACCCTGAGGAGTGACATGATCTACTCCATCTGAAGCTATTTTAAAAAGTATTTTATTCAAATATTTTTGTAATTATGGTGCATGTAGTTTTTATGACCTCATATTATGTTATTATATTAATAATTAATGAAATACTTAAAATATTTAAGTAAAATATTAAAATATGTATTTAATACTTTGTAAAAATTCATATGAAAGGCCCTTGAGAGACCAATTGTTATTTAATTTATTATTAAAATACTTAAATTTAAGTAAATTTTTCAAATATATAAAAAATATTTAAAAAAGGACGTGGAAGGGCTGTAAGAGACCAATTGTTTGTTTTTGTTTTTTCAGAAATCCTATTTAATAAAATACTAAACATGTTAAAGGAAAAAAAAATTAAATACTTATAAGAAATCACTTCAAAGGGCCCTAAGAGACCAATATAATTATTTATTATTAAAATATTATATTTAAGTAAAATATTAGAATATATTTAATAAACTAAATTTATATAAATATTTTATAATAAAATAAATGTATATTTAATAAAATTCATTTTTTAAATATTTTTAAATATTCATGTGGAAAGGCTGTAAGAGACCAATTATGTTATTATATTAATTATTATTGAAATATTTAAAATATGATGGTAAAATGCATTAGAAATATATATATTCAACATCAAAAGTTGATGTTAAAAAGCCTTAAGGGTCCAGTTATACTGCTATTATAATAATTATTTAAAAATGTAGTAAAATATTAAAATGTAGTTTAAAAATATTTAAAGTATTAACATTTTTGTAAAATTTCGTACGAAAAGTTTTTTTTTAAATGTTAAACATTAAAATATATGTGAATACACGTACATTTTGTAAAAATTGGAAAGGGCCTTAGTAATTAGTAAGTACCAAGTACGTTATTTTATTAAATATTATTAATATATTTAAAATATTTAAATGTGTGTGTGTGTGTGTATATATATATATATATAATATTAAACTACTTTTCATGTGAAAGGCCTTAATTAAGCAATTATGCATACTTGTAGTTTATGTTTTTGTTTTGCTTTATCCCTAAAGATAGTAATTAGTTCCACTAATTATGAAGCTAAAGTTTGAGTGAAGTTTACTGGCTTGATCAGCATGACTCCAGCTGTCTGTGTCTCTGCTCACAGGTGGATGCTCCCAGCGAGTCGGGTAACCAAGATGCCCATTTTACCTCCAGCGAAATGCTTGACCAGTTGCTACAGGAGGACGCCCGCTCAGGAACCGGCTCCAACGCTTCAGACAGTGGCTCCGGGGAGTCGGGAGGCTCTCTGGGCTCCGGGTCGGGACTCTGTTCTAACGGAACATCTACCAGCCATACCGGTGCTGTTCCAAATCACTCGTCCATGACACTGAATGTTGTGTGGAAAGAATTATGCATGTTTTTTTTTTTGCATTGAATTTCCATTATCAGAAAAAAAAAAAAATTTGTTTTGTTATGATTTTTGTTTTGTTCTAAATTTCAGTCTTAGGCCCCGTCCACACGGAGACGTGTTTAGCTGTATACACATACATTTTGTATCGTATAGACGTTTCGTCCAGACGGATCCGGCATTTTGGGAGAGTGAAACCGATATTTTTTGAAACCGAGTCCCTGAGTGGATAAATCTGAAAACGCCACCCTTGCGTTTTCGTGTGGACAGCGAATCCGTATATATTCTGAAACGAGGACGTCATCAGCCCACGTCTCGCCCCTAGTCAGAAATCGCTACGTCACGTAACAGCAACAAAAACATGAACAAACACTGAACAATTGTCTTTTTATTAACTAACATTAACACAGATTAATAAATGTATTGTTGCAAGGTTTATGCGCATAGTCCAAGTCTTCTCCGTTTTTAGTATCTCTGGCAGAATTACAGCGCCACATGCTGGTCTGGCATGTATACTACATCGTTTTGTGTCGGTTTCGTGTGGACGCAGATATTTCTTGAGACAAAACTTTAAAGTAATATTTAAATAGCATTCAATAATATTTTATTAAATTACTATAAATGTAATAAATATGTAAATATATAATATAGGTTTTTTTCTTTTACATTTTGAGTGAAATATTTGTTAAAATGTATATTTAATTTATTGAATTAAATATTTTTTCATAAATATTTCATTTATTTTATATTATATTTCTGCATTTTTGAATGTGTATGGCTGATGCTCAAGCTATATAATACCAATAAAAATAGATCCTTCCCCATGTATAAATTCAGGGCATGGTGTGCATTTTTTATTTTTTTGTATTACAGTGTGTTACCGTCAGCCATACACATATGAAATTGCCATTTAAAATGGAATTTATTATTTATTTAAATGCCATTTCCACCATAATTTTTTTTTAGTCATAATTTCTACTACATAAACGTCTTCCAGAAGATTATTTTAATGGAAATTCAATTAAAAATGAAACTCCTCACCCTCATTTTGTTCCTGTATGACTTCCTTTTTTTTTTATATGAAACACAAAAGTTTCATTAAACTGACCGCTAACATTTCACGTTTATAGGCAGCAGCAATAGCAGCAAGTACTTCGCCAGCAATGATTCATCAGACACGTTGCGGAAAGCGCGCAAGTCCACGGAGGCCCAAGAAAGGGAGCATACAACCTTCAAAAAGCACGTGGACAACCCGTTATGGAGCATGATCAAGCAGACGCCCGAACCAGTCATGATGACCTATCAGATCAGTCCCAGGTACCAGACCCGGAACGTTTCTCGCTCTCTCTTTCTCTGAATCCTGGGTTCCCCGCTCATTCCTCTGAGAAACCTGAGAGAAGCGTGACATTTTGAGCGTCTCTTTCCACAGGAGAAAGAGATAGCGCTGCCAGGCTCTCTCGCTGAGGTAGTTCTGATCAAGCTAAATGTCTCATTGCGTCAGCCCTGAGGTAGGTGACTCCAGGTGACGGTACACAATGAGACCCGTGATAAAGAGCTTGACGAGGTGACACAAGCACCTTATTATGAACGGAGGAGAGGGCGAATCTGCCAGGCCTAGATGTTTTTACAGTATTAAGATGTTGAAATCAAAGCAGTGTGCTGTCGAGTGTCATCAAACAAACATATGAGGCAGCATAAGTGAGTTTTATTTTGTGTGTGTGGATATCCATGCAGGGATCAGGCCCAGGTTCTTCAAGAAGACCGGGAGAAGCTGGTTCTGATGCAGCCCATGCAGCCCTGGTTCACCCAGGACCAGAAGAAGGAGCTGGCCGAGGTCCATCCCTGGATCCATCAGCACACGGTCCCACAGGAGATCAACACACAGGTTATACAACTTATTTACATCAGGATCAAAAATATGTATCGTTATAGGCCAGTATATTGGCCATATTCTTTCATTTGAGATGGTCTACTTATGAATGGATGCATGGCCGATTAACAGAAGAGCAATTATAAAATCTTATCTTACGACAGACTTGGATAATGCACATTGTTCCAATATATGGCCCTTTCAATAGTGGTTGGATCTGAATTTAATAAAACAAAAATTCTCTACATTGAGTGAAAAGAAGTGCTTCATAAACAGAAGATTTTGTATCTGGATAATATATATATATATATATATATATATACATACATACTGTATACACTACCGGTCAAAAGTTTGGGATCAGTAAGACTTGTAATGTTTTTTAAAGAAGTCTCTTCTGCTCATCAAGGTTGCATTTATTTGATCAAAAATACAGAAAAAACAGTAATCTTGCAAAATGTTATTACAATATAAAATAATTGTTTCTATTTTAATATCCTTTAAAATATAATTTATTTCTGTGATGCAAAGCTGAATTTCCATCAGTCATTACTCCAGTATAAAGTGTCGCATGATCCTTCAGAAATCATTCTAATATGCTGATTTATTATTAGAATTATCAATGTTGGCAACAATTGTGCTGCAACATTTTTTTTTTTTTGGAAACTGCAATACTTTTTTCAGGATTCTTTGATGAATAAAAAGTAAAAAAGAACAGCATTTATTCAAAATATAAATATTTTCTAACAATATAAATCTTTGCTATCAGTTGAACACATCCTTGCTGAATAAAAGTTTTAATTTCATTCAAAAAAAGAAAGAATAAAAATGTACTGACCCCAAACTTTTGAATTGTAGTGTATATTGTTAGAAAAGATTTCTATTTTAAATAAATGCTCTTCTTTTTAACTTTTTATTCATCAAAGAATCCTGAAAAAAAAAATATTACGCAGCACAACAAACAGTTTCCAGCACTGATAATAAATCAGCATATTAGAATGATTTCTGAAGGATCATGTGACACTGAAGACTGGAGTAATGATGCTGAAAATTCAGCTTTGCATCACAGAAATAAATTAGATTTTAATGTATATTAAAATAGAAAATCGTTATTTTACATCATTATAATACAGTATTTCACAATATAAAATTTTTTCCTGTATTTTTTATCAAATAAATGCAGCCTTGATGAGCATAAGAAACTCCTGTAAAAAAACACACGTACACACACACACACACACACACACACATATACACTTAAACATATATATGTTTAAGTGTATATGTGTGTGTGTGTATATATATACATACATATACACATATACGTACATATATATATATATATATATATGACCATTTTTTTGTGATTTTGTTTTTATTAGTTTTAGATTTAGTACATTTAGTAGTTTTAAATGTCTATATGGTGCTTTTAATAGATTTTTATTTTAGCTTTAGTTATTTTAGTACATCAAGTTAAACTAAATGGTGCTTTGACAATTAGCTGAAATTTTTGTTTTTTACAGTACGTATATATTTTTTATTTATATTTTATTATTCATATTTATTTATTTTATTTCAAGTAACAAAAATAATTGTATGGTTTTAGTTTTAGTTAACTATAATACCCCTGCTCGTCAGGAGGTAAGGCTAAATGTTTTATTTTACATTTATTTGATATGTGGTTTGCAACCATGTGTATAAAATGTCCGAAATACAGGTTTAAATGAATGAATGTAAATGTGTGTTGCAAATTATTAAAATATATAAAACTATCTTAAAATACATTTATAATTGCAAATATTTTTCTATATTAACTTGATTATAAGTTTATAAAAATATCAGAGGAATATGTTATGATGCTATGATTTAATTTTGATTACTACCAATTGTTAGATTGGTAGATTGTTAAATTGTTTTTTTTGTTTTTTTTTTATGTAATTTAGTCCTGTGATCAAAGCTGAATTTTCAGCATCATCACTTCAGTCTTCAGAGTCACATGATCCTTCAGAAATCATTCTAATATGCTGATTTGCTGCTTTGCATCATTCGACTGCTATCTTTATTGTGTTTCATCATGATCTAACATATTTATTTCTTTTTTTAGGGTTGTGTGAGTTGTAACACCATGGAACCGGGTGAAGAACTGAATCTTCAGACTGGCTCTCCAAACCCTCCCACTCCTGACAGCTCCTGTCCGTCATAGGATGCTAGACCCGACACAGACACCTGACCGCACACCCTGCTGGACCTCCAGCCCTCTGGGACTCAGTGATTCTTCTGCTTTCAGCTGGGAATCATAGGAAGAGAGAGACACCCGCATCCGTGTGCCAGTCTCTCATAATTCCTCCTGAGTTCACGAAACGAGGCAAGCACTTTGCACTCAATCAAACCACGTCAGAGTGAGTTTGGACACTCGCAGGAGACGGACATTTAGTGATGGTCGTCACATGACCATGCATTTCTCTCTGCTGTTCTCCGTTACAGTCCATGGACCCAAACAGCTGTGAATATCAGACTATAATTTGGTAGTGGTGTCATAAGAGCTCTTCATATTTTTTAGACTGTTGCCCGAATGTTTTTTTTTAAGAAAGGTTTTTTTCATTAATAATGTGTCCTCTACTGAATCTTGAATCTTGCAGGCTCAGGAGGGTTTATGATCTCCCAAAAGTCCCTGTAATGAGTTTCCTGAACGCTTGCGCAGATATAAATGTGTATAAACACATTAGCACTCACCGCCAAAATCTAACAGCATCTACGAATGGAAATGAATGATATTTGGTCCAGAGCACAAAGTTCTTCATTCCTTATCAAGTTCATCCAATCCAAATGAATAATTTGAGTGAGGCCTTAAGATAGTTTTTCTGTCAGTGTTTTCTGTTCTCAATTTCAAATATTTTTTCCAATATACTTGTGATTGAATGATGTCAAGCAATGTCTTACTCTAGTATAAAACTCACAGTGATGGTGTAATCGGAATATGCAGATATTTTTCTGTTGGGTTGAAAATTAAAACAAAATTATAAATAAATGTATAAAAAAAATAAAAAAATGATTTATATAAATTTACATCAAAAAATGATGACCATTATGATTGTTGACATTGTGACATTTATTTTTGTGATGTGAATATGGGAGGAAAATCTGATTAATTGTCAAAATACAAAAATAGAAATGCAATCTTAATGGGTTTTTTTAATTAGTTCTATTTATGCATTATTATTATTATATAGTATATATTATTATACTGTCGCTGGGGCAGTACCCTTTAAAAGGTACACCTTTGTACCTTATTTACCACTACAGGGTCCATATTAGTACCTCAAAGCTACGTATTAATACCTTTTGAGAAGGTAATGCCCCAGAGACAGCTTTTGTACCTTTTCTGAGAGTTTAAAAATATAAAACTTCTCAAAACCATCATAAAGTACCCAAAAAGATGAAAAAAAACCACTGCAGTTTACCGTATGATTTTCTCCAAACCTATTTTTTGTCATCTTGTCTTCTTTATTTATTAATCTGTACTGATCTGACGTGTGTCGTTGTGAGCGTGTTTCCTGTGCTGTTCCTGAAGTCAGATTAGACGCCGTTCCTTTATGTTTTGTAGGTTGCTGCGGTAATAGAGAGCTGCCAGAGGCCCGATTACTGGCCCGTCAGTCCCACCCAACAGAAAACCTATGATATGTACAGTTTTGTGATCAAAGATACACTTTGTACAGTTTTTAGAAAGAAGTGTAAATATCAGTCCAATGTATTTTACGAGAAAAAAAAAAGTGCAAAATACAACAAACTGTATGAAAAAAAAAACATTTTGTCAAATTCAGGGAAATATTTTGACACGGGATGATAACTATGAATAAAAGAACTCAATGACTCAAACACTGTTGTTTTTAAATACAATCCTCATATTTTTCAGTTTTTTTCTTTTTGTATTCTCTTTAATCGTCTAAAGTAATAAGCACACTAACTTTTTTAAACATATTTTCTTTATTTACATCAAAGCTTAAAGCATGTACAAGTATGTACAAATAAAGTATCCACTATTTTTCCTACAAACATAAATATATTTCTTTGCTAATTTAGTGCATCAGGCCCACAGAGTTAGTGGACGAGTGTTGAAAATTACACGTAAAGTTCATGAGAACGCGCAGGTGCATGTACTGTAAGTGTGTAAGTGCTTGAGTGTTATTAACTAGATGTTTCAGACACAGTATTTCCAGAAACACTCTGTGTTGCTGCCTCGTTTGCGATACTGCTTCCTGCCGCCCAGGAAACGACTCAACAACGGCTTTTCCAGCAAGACCTGAACGACAAACGTGAGTCAGTATGTTTAAATAATCCTTCATAGCTGTCTGTTGATATAATGTTCAATGATGTCATGGGTTTCATTAAATCACTCACTTCTTTTGCAGCTTGACTCGGGACAAATCCAGCTGTTTTGAGACCTGAGAGGGACATGAAGAAGAACAAGACTAGATAAGAGTGAGTTACATCCAGCTGCTGATATCAGTCCCTTCTGTTACTGTAACTTACAATTTAAATGTAAATTATTACAAAAACTTTATGAATTATTATAAATGATGTATCATTATTTCTAATATTTTATGTATCATTATTTATAATAATTTATCATTTAACATTCCATAATTGCTGGACTAATGTAACAAAATTCTGTTTTTTCTGGACATCACTACAGATTTACTGTTTCTGTTTAACGTCTCAGTTGTTTCTCAGATTAAATGAGAATGTATCTCTAAATGTATTTTATTTCAGATAGCTGGCAAGGCAACATTTCTCATTTTCATTTTGTACCTGATGTACTAAACTAATAAAAAATGTTGTATAAAAAATAAAAACTATATAGATAAATTAAAAAAACTATTTTTAAACCACAAAATTACTAAAACTTTAAAGTTGAAATAAAATACAAAAATGTAAACTAATTTAAAATATTAATAAAAACTATAATAATATCTCAGTGATACTAAAATAAGACTGGAAAGCATTTCTAAGAGCAAGATCTAAGCAATTAAATTGTCCTCTGGATTCACAGCAAGTTTCAGCGAAGAGAATATTGAAATGAACCGCTCACCATCACTGCTGATGTCTCCAGTGAAGAGGGACGGGTAACCGAATCCCGCGGCACCCTGGGACAGATACGCTTGCTTGGAGTAACTCAGGTCGTCTGGTGGCAAGGCAACATTTCTCATTTTCATTTTGTACCTGATGTACTAAACTAATAAAAAATGTTGTATAAAAAATAAAAACTATATAGATAAATTAAAAAAACTATTTTTAAACCACAAAATTACTAAAACTTTAAAGTTGAAATAAAATACAAAAATGTAAACTAATTTAAAATATTAATAAAAACTATAATAATATCTCAGTGATACTAAAATAAGACTAATCTTAAGATCTAAGCAATTAAATTGTCCTCTGGATTCACAGCAAGTTTCAGCGAAGAGCATATTGAAATGAACCGCTCACCATCACTGCTGATGTCTCCAGTGAAGAGGGACGGGTAACCGAATCCCGCGGCACCCTGGGACAGATACGCTTGCTTGGAGTAACTCAGGTCGTCTGGACTGACCACCTGCTCCTCTTCTACAAGAACTACAGGTGAACATGACACATAACATCGGTCTGTCTTTAAGAACATTTATAATATCAATACCCTACAAACAGTAATACTGTGAAAAATCATTACAATTTAAAATAGAATTTATTCCTGTGATTCAAAGCTGAATTTTCAGCCAATATCAATGTTGAAAACGGTTGTGCAATATTATATTATATAGGGCCTATTATATTATACTGTATATTACACATTTTATATTTTAGCACATAGTCAAATTTTGATGATGAATCATGTTTTTACAGTCTTGTCATTTAAGCGAGTTACCCTTCACAAATCCCTGGAGAAACCTGAGATTGAACCTGTAGACTTTAGCTTGTTGAATCGGTGTGTGTGAATGAGAGCAGATGAGAGCTCTTACCAGGCCTGGCGTAGGTCATCTCTGCCGAATGGATCAGCGGATGTCCCAGCAGTGGTTCGAGGACGCTGAGAAGCAAAGCAAAGAATAGAAAGAGTTTACACATCATGATGACACGTACAGACACACACAAAATCTCTTTCTTCCGCGACTTTAGCCAAGAGGGTCTCGTTTAAATGTGTCTGTCTTGTTTCTGTCCTGCACTTATATACCCTCCATCGCTGGCCATGTCATCTCCCCGTCTCCATCTCTGACCTCCTCCCATCCCTTCGTATATTCTGTGCTTGTAAATTCACAGGGGATGAATTAATGGATCAATAAAACTGAAAGACAGATGCAGGGTCTGTGCGTCTGGGATGAGCCGCACTATTTTACCAGTTCAGGATGTAATCCAGCCGAGTTCATAAATCCGCCTGAACACAGGTGGGAAAATGGCACTTTGCGTTAGAGCTCGCAGGATGGAGTCGGCCAGGCAAATTGCCTACTTAATTCATTTATTTAAGAGGCTGCTGAGATTTATTTCCCATGATGCCCGCTGCGGTTTCCTCCTTATGATCCCCGTGCCTTCTATTTTAAGAGACTGGAAGTGGCAAATAGAAAGTGTGACCAATTTTTTTAATGGTGTAAAGAAAAAAAGGTGAGAAGTTGTTTTGGCCACAGAGCTTCATGTCAATCACATTTATTAGTCTGAGTGATAGACGTACTGCTTCAACCGCACATCCATCCATCTATCCATCTATCTATCTATCTATCTGTCTGTCTGTCCGTCCGATATCTATCTGTCTATCTATATGTCTTGTCTGTCTGACATCTGTCTATCTGTCTGTCTGTCTATCTACAGTGGGGAAAAAAAGTATTTAGTCAGCCACCAATTGTGCAAGTTCTCCCACTTAAAAAGATGAGAGAGGCCTGTAATTTTCATCATAGGTATACCTCAACTATGAGAGACAAAATGAGAAAAAAAAATCCAGAAAATCACATTGTAGGATTTTTAAAGAATTTATTTGCAAATTATGGTGGAAAATAAGTATTTGATTTGAAGTAATTTCATCTCAATACTTTGTTATATACCCTTTGTTGGCAATGACAGAGGTCAAACGTTTTCTGTAAGTCTTCACAAGGTTTTCACACACTGTTGCTGGTATTTTGGCCCATTCCTCCATGCAGATCTCCTCTAGAGCAGTAATGTTTTGGGGCTGTCGCTGGGCAACACGGATTTTCAACTCCCTCCAAAGATTTTCTATGGGGTTGAGATCTGAAGACTGGCTAGGCCACTCCAGGACCTTGAAATACTTCTTACGAAGCCACTCCTTCGTTGCCCAGGCGGTGTGTTTGGGATCATTGTCATACTGAAAGACCCAGCCACGTTTCATCTTCAATGCCCTTGCTGATGGAAGGAGGTTTTCACTCAAAATCTCACGATACATGGCCCCATTCATTCTTTCGTTTACACGGATCAGTCGTCCTGGTCCCTTTGCAGAAAAACAGCCCCAAAGCATGATATTTCCACCCCCATGCTTCACAGTAGGTATGGTGTTCTTTGGATGCAACTCAGCATTCTTTCTCCTCCAAACACAACAAGTTGAGTTTTTAACCAAAAAGTTCTATTTTGGTTTCATCTGACCATATGACATTCTCCCAATCCTCTTCTGGATCATCCAAATGCTCTCTAGCAAACTTCAGACAGGCCTGGACATGTACTGGCTTAAGCAGGGGGACACATCTGGCACTGCAGGATCTATCTATCTGTCTGTCTGTCTGACATCTGTCTGTCTGTCTGTCTGACATCTGTCTGTCTGTCTGTCTGTCTGTCTGTCTGACATCTATCTGTCTGTCTGACATCTATCTATCTATCTGTCTGTCTGACATCTATCTATCTGTCTGTCTGTCTGACATCTATCTATCTATCTGTCTGTCTGTCTGA